GTGTGGAGAAGGGTGAAGGACCTGCCTCAACCAGGAAGAGAAGGAGCCTCTCTTTAGCCTGGGTCGCCCCTGTGCTGGCCAGTTCCTGCCCACATACAACCCCACTCAGAGGCTTGAAAATGAGACTGTGGCAGGTTTATCTGCAGTGACAATTTGTCGTCTGGGTAAGGGTTATGTCAAGGAACTAAAGCTAGAATAAACCCTAAATTCCTTTTGGAAAAAAAAAAATAGCAGCACCATATTTCTTCCAAATGAGGAAGAGATGGTCTTTGTTATTGTTGTTTTACTTTCTATTAAGTGACAATGTAAATATCTCTGGCATAAATATTATATAAATATTCCTCCCTGCTCTGGGTATAGACAGTGGCCATCTAAATTCTGATGTGGCACCTTAACAACAGGACAAATTACAGAATTTATTTCCCTCTTCCTTGGTTACCTCACATCTAAGATGGGATGTTTATTTGAAAGTTTTAAATCTGTTACTAGGACAACATAGAACAAAACAGAAGTTTGGAGCGGTGCTAGAAAACATCAATAAATGTGAACTCTGACTGTTGCCTTGGGGGTGCAAAAATCTCCCTGAGACGTGGGTGAGGCTCAGCGGGCTGTGCTCTGTGACATGTTGTCTGCACAGGTGCAGTCTGGGCACCACCTTGCAGGCTGTGCTCCAACCCTGGGCTGTAATGAGCAAGAACTTTGGAAGTTTGATTGCTTTGACTTATTTTGAGACAATACCCAAGCAATCTATAGTCACCATCACTTCCTATATATTTACATTTGGACATGCTGGGTCTATGGACTGCCTGGTATGAGGTTTAGTTAAAACCCAGGAGCTAGATTCCCCATCAGAAGCACCCTCGGGGGTGACACAGACCAGGCCTTGATAAGACACAGGACCGGAGGATGACACAGCAGTGATGGCCCTGACTCCTCAGCTCTGTCTCCTCTGTTGGCCCAGAGAACCTAGACTTGCTGGCTTTCTGCAGTCAAGTGAAGTGTTAGGACTCACTGGGAGGGAAGGGGTGGCCTGGGAGTTGGGGGTGTGGGGTACCTGGGCAGGCTTCACAGGAAAGAGTATGTTGGGAGGGGCTGTAATGATAAGTGATTTTTTTGTAAGGAGTAGGAGAAGGCAATTCAGACAGAAAACATTCCAGAAGGGGGAGTAGAGACACATGACATGAACTGTGTTTCCAAAACAGTAAGTTTCCCATGTCACTGAAAGCAGGTGAATCCTTTAGGCCAAGGTAGAAGTATCTTAAAGGTCATTTCAAAAGCATCCACAGGTAAAAGACAGACAGTGACCTTGATCTTAAGGAATGAAAGTGTCACCCGTGAAGGACCTTCCTCCAGGTCCCCCCCTGCAGGGGGAGGCTGAGGCAGCCCAGCCCCACCTTGGCCACGCCTCGGCAGCAGGAGCAAACCAGCCTCAGGTCCCAGCTTCCAGGGTGGCAGCAATCTGTGGGCCCGGAGCCCATGATTGGGGAACCCTCCTCGGGACACACAGCCAAAGGGGATTTCTCTCCCCTCCCAACTCTGGAATTCATTTTACATTCCCCAATTCTTCCTAACTCTTGTGGGAGATGGCAAAGATGCCTTGACCCCACCCGTGATGGCGGGGACGGGGACTCACATGAGGCTCAACTGGGAGCACGCTCCCATGGACAGGCAGAGGGGTGCGGGGATACAGGCCGTGGCTCCCAACTGTTGTGCTTGTGGGGGATCTGGAGGAAAGGGAGACTGTTTAGGAGGAAGAACAGCTCCCCGAAGGAGGACCTCCCTCTCTGCAGAAGTCTCCCATGACCCTCCATCCAGGTGCAAGGCCAAGCTAAGAGAAACCATTGGGTTAGAGTCATGTCAGTCACTCAGCTTCCAGGTTCTCTTTCCTCCTGGTGTTCGTACCCAGTGACAAAGAACAAAGCAATGCCGTACCCACAGGGGAGATCTTGTCAAGGAACAAGCCACGTACATCGGGAAGTGAAGCAACCCTAGCCGTATCCAGTGGTGGGGTCAAGATTCCCATCTACCTCAGTGGACTTCTATAAGGTCACCAGTCCAGTCCTCTGACTGACCTGCTTTGAGTTTGGGAATAAAAAACACCTCCCTTCATCGTACAACCTGTAGTAGACCCCAAAGAGGAAAGCTCTAGTGTTCTCAGAGCTTTACAGACCCTATAAAACCTGGGCTTAAGATCATATTTCTGGTTAAAAAGTGGATAATTTGAGCCAGTTGCATGAAATTGTTTATTGTGGTAGTGGTTTGGGGTTATTTCTTAACTGGTAATGGCATCACAACATTTCCATTCAAGCTGTTACATTTCTAGTTATCTTACCCATCTCGGTTTCTTT